AGACCCCAGGAACCGGAACCTGGAACCTTCTTGCTGCAGGGCAGCAGTGCTACCCACTGTGCCGCCCTGTCCCAGTCCAAGATGATGAAAGTTTCAATTTGTGGGGAACAGAGGCAGAGGTGAAAAAAAATACCTGCATGGATCAGGATCTGCTCGCCCTGAATAGTAATCGTAGGTCAATTATTTGTTTACATTTCTACTGGCAAACCTGCACTGTCATAAACAGTTTCCCTCTGTGTTTTAGAATCTGAAAGCAGATTGAAAAGTTATAGAGTCACTTTTAATGACACGCTTTTACACCACAGAACCAAACATATGTCTAAAGGGCTAAGTTTCATATCCTTTTTGTTGGCAAACATCGTTGGCTTTTTTAGCTCTTCTGTTTAAGGGAAGATTAGACTGTCATTAAGTGGTGCTTTAGGTCACATGACTGATTTAGTAAAAGATCCAACCCTCTGAGGGTTTTTGAGAAGGACAGCCTGCACGGAGCATCAATAAGTGCTCATTGGCCAGTGCTGTATGTTGACCTGAAAAATAATGTAACATCTCAAATTAAGCTTATACTTTGGTCAAGATGTAAACACTGCTGCTTAAGATGGGATAGGTATTTTATTCCTTAAAGTACCTATCCACAATTCAAATAATTATTTGCATTATTTGAATTGTCTTCTCCTGAAACCATAGGAACCATGCAAACAACATGCAGATTTAAAAAGAAAATGCAAAGTAACCCTGATTAACAAGTTGTGTTTTCTTTTTTTACTAATACATTTATTTATCGTCTTTTTCTGACATGAACTCTGTAAATGGGAACGGGGGTCATTGAAAATGTGTAGCCAAAGTAAACGCTTCCTTTTACCTTTAGGAATTTTAGCAATGTCATTTGTGGCCATTGAGATAAAAGAAGGTAAGTTTTACCTTGATATCGTATTGGGTCAATATCAGTATCAGTTCATGCTCAATATCAGCCTTATATTGGAAATGAAAAAAAATGTATCATGACCTATAATTGAGTGATTTTGTCTGAAAAGAGCATCAAAGAAGTAAAACTTTTTCAATCATACCTGTTCATCTTCCTAATTACTACTTTATTAATGAGTCCTTGCTCATCAGAAGTTCACTAACTGAGCAAATAAATAATTTCTGTACATATAAACATACATATACACATCACATGTACCTACATAGATCTTCCGGCATATCTCTCTCTTGATGCTTGATTTGTAAATCTTTCTGTGTGCTTCCTGTTTATTAGGGACGCACAAGATGGTTGGTCCACAGGTTGTGACTCCCGACTCCTCCCAGGATAAATCCAGTCGTTTCTATGTGGTGTCCTGGACCAACAGGCTTCTCAAGACAAACTTCAAAGATGTCAGAGAGATGGCATCAGGTAATGAATTACTGCACAAGAACTTTTCAACTCATGCTTATTGTGGTAATTTATAATATGGAGCAGGTATGGGGAAATTCATGGGTTTCATAGACAAGCTCCTTCGGAGCAAACAGCTGAGGAGATAGTGTGATGTATCAGGTGTTAGATCAGAGATTAAACCTAAACAATGGCGTAACTAAGTTAAGCTACATTATGTTGGGACATCCTATCCCACCGCCGCCACCCTAGACAACCGACCCAAAACATGCCCCATTCATACACACTTCATCATTCTTCACCTTCACTAGACATGGATATGCTTTAGTATATTCTGCTGTAAAATTAGTCTTATGGGGCTACCTTCAGCTTTAGTGTCCCCTCCTCACACACGCTCTCTCCATTCATCTCCTGGTCGCAATCTATACTCTCTGTAGCAGCAACGTCCACCATTCCCTCTTACCCAGATAATGTTGTAATGTTGCTTATGTGACTATTGTTGTGTCGTTACGCCATTAATAAAAGTTCAATAAATCTCCAGGTCCCCTTTTACACTAGGGTCAGCAGATCCCTGATAATTATCTGCTCAGTCCACACCTCATGAGGACTAATTTTGATTTCTAATGTGAAATATATGGCTTCGTGATTTGATAGAATATACTCATTCTGAATGTAAACATAAAAGGTGTAAATACAAGTATGGCATCAATGGTGCTGCTGAAGTTTAGATGATTGTAACAGTGTGTCTTATAGGAATCGCTTTGAAAGCACCAGTGGTGCAACTAACGACTATTTTGCAAATTGATTAATCTGTCGATTACTTTTTTAATTAATCAATTAATAATCAGTGTTGTGTGAAAAAAGTTTTCAACTATACAGTCCAGTTAAATAAATAGATCGATGGATTTTACTCAGTCGCCACTTTATTTACTTTGAAAAGTAAAGGAGAACAAGACATTCACATTCACAGCATGATGGTCTACCCTGTTCTGACTTGCTCTTGCTTTAAAGAAAGAGTCAAAACAATAACAGACACTTTGGTAAAACAGTTACTTTGAAAAAAGTATGTTGTTTTGTTATGGGAAAAGGTATGTTTTGTGTATAACCACCATTTTGTGGCCTTACATGTGAAACAAACTAAGTTAAACATTTTTTTAGAGAGCAAATAGCATACATCAATACATGAAAGAAGAAATTAATAGAAAATAAATTTTCCGACAACATCCATAGTAAAAGTTTAATTTAAGAATATTTTTTAACTATATTAAACCAGATGAAACAAAAACTTTTCCACTTGATGAGTTCTGTGGAGTTCTGGATAGGGCATATTGACAGATGAAAATGTTTTTTTAATCATAAATGTGAAAGGTTTATACGGTAATTTTTTTTTTACAATTTTGATAAAATTACTGCTCTAAGTGGGGTTCTCTATCAGCTAAACGCATGTCTTTGTACTCCAGTTAACAATTAATCAATTCATAAATTATATGATGATTATTTTAACAATCGATTAATTGCGATTAATCCGATTCATTGTTTCAGCCCTATTTTGAACCAACATTTAAAGTAGTTTATACAATAATCAGAGGCTCCGCCTTTTTTCTCATGATTTACCTCTGGTTCTTCAAATGACATCTCAGCATTTCATCCTCATAGGTTGCAAATTTGTTTGTCTCAACAGGTGCATGTCAGTGTCAGATGATGGACTGCACCATTCCTGGCTCTATTGACTTGACCAAGGTGAAGTTTGATGCACAGAGTAAGGAAGACTTTAGCCACAACTTCAGTCTTCTTCAAGACGCCTTCACACAGAAGAATGTTAAAAAGGTATATACGTAATTTGTAGAACAACATGCCATCCATTAACAACTTCCCACTAGAACAGGCATCCCCAAACTCGGTCCTCGAGGCCCCCTTTCCTGCAGGTTTTAGAGGTTTCTCTGCTTCAGCACAGCTGGTTATAATGATTGCAGTAGACCAAAAGCGTTAATCAGCTTTCAATTAAAATCAGCTGTGCTGGAGCAAGGAAACCTCTAAAACCTGCAGGACAGCGGGCCTCGAGGACCGAGTTTGGGGATGCCAGCTCTAAAGCCACATTTACAGCCATCAGCCACCATATCATGAAGCACAATGCAGACCGGCATGGAAGTTGGAGTCATGTGAGGCACATTGATATATGATAGGGGAAAGCTGAATTATAACCAATAACTATGTTTGCATGACAACTACCCCACCCACTGACACACAGTAGCTTGATGATGTTAGATAAACCAAAAAAGACTACACAGGGTTCCCGCGGGTCCTTAAAAAGTCTTAAAAGGCATTGAATTCTTCAAGATAAAACTAAGGCCTCAATTGGTATTAAAATGTCTTAAATCAGTCTTTCATAGGTCTTAATTTTTAAAACATCATAAATAGTATTATTTTTATTCTGATTTATTTTTGTAATCTAAATAAAACATTAAAATTAACCTTTTTTTTTTATTTAGAAAAAATAATGGCTCGCCATTATTGGATCCGTCCAATAATGGTGGAACCAATTAAAGCGTTGTTGCGGCCGAGACATTTGGAAGATGCGGCATTTGCTTTTTGTCTGGAAAATATGAGCAAGTGTAAATGTGACGAAAATTGTCTATCCAGCCAAGAGTTTTCTCCATGGCTAAAACCAGGGAACATACATGAGGCTCAGTGGATTTT